GCATAAGGTCACGGGTGAGAGGGACGAGACGCGCGACTACGATGAAGCATTCACCCTGTAATTCGAGATCGTGATCGTGGTCGTGAATACGAGCGGTTGTCGCTCGCAATCTTTGGATAGTCCGTGTTATTTTTTTATATTTTTCTGTTGACTAAGCATTTAATCGGTTTTCAGTGTAGTCGAACCTAGTGATTAGCATCACCTCCGTTCCGGCTGCATGACAACATTACGTCAGGTGGCGCTTTTAGTGAGGTTCAGCGTCCTGTTTAAGATTTTGATATTTTTTAAATGTTAGACGAGTTTAACTCACACTTGGTAGTGTTAATTAATCAGATATCACTGTTGCGTTAAATCAAACATTGTTCAAATTGTTGTTTGTCAGATTTGAAGTTTCTATGTCGATTGTGAAAAGTGCAGTAGCCTCGGTGGGATTTGAACCCACGCATGGACGCCACCTACGCTTTGTACGCGCACGCTCGAATGTGAAATATTAGTGCTATCGGTGTGGCCTCGTAGCTCAGCTGGTAGAGCATGCGCGTACAAAGCGTAGGCGGTGTCCATGCGTGGGTTCGAATCGCACCGAGGCTACTGAACTTTTCACAATCGACATAGAAACTTCAAATCTGCCAAACAACTATTTGAACAATTCACCTTGTCTTAGAAGCTCATTCGGTGGAGTCCGGTGAATTGTAAGGAAAACCTGTCGAGGCAGTCAGCTTACATGCTAACTGGTGGATGCCACATGCCTGTGTAAGTTGGATGGGTAAATTGGAATGTGAAAATGATCAGTGCTATCGGTGTGGCCTCTTAGCTGAGCTGGTAGAGCGTGCGCGTACAAAGCGTAGGCGGCATCCATGCATGGGTTCGAATCATCATTGTGTATTACTTCATTTTTTATTTTTATTTCAGGCACACTGCGTCAACTTTCTTGGTCTGGAGTACCCGGCGAGCTTCGGCCAGTAGTATGGAAATTACTTTGTGTGAGTACCACGATCCCAGAATATATGTCTGTGCTATACCCAGTCCTTTGGTGTGTGGATTCCGCTTATATGTGCTACCGAGTTCGAGTTATATAATTGCCTCAGCGTTTGTGATACGCTATTAAGTTCATGAAAAACAATCATCCATTATTCTTAAATAGCGGTTCGCCGGGTTTATACAGCCACAGTAAAAGCAGTTGATCAAACTTAGCTCCATTTCTGATTCATTCCGAGGTCTGTTTCATGTTTGTGACAATGGCTGTATAAACACAAAACATTGCGCGAGCACCTCTTATTATATATGCTTTTTGTTTTATTTTTCAATATTCGGTCAGCGCGCAGTCTCTGACTTGAACCTTGTATTGCAGCCCAATCATTTTCCCTCCGAACTCTTGCATTTCCTAAGCACTGGTTTTGGTTGATCCCCAAACGTACTACCATAGTTCGTCCGTCGGATGCCGTTTCAACAACAAAATTGCACTGCCATCGTGCCAAAGGATGTGTTAATCAGTCCATCTGTTTAGGTCGTTTGTTTTTACTGGACGTTGTAAAATTCACTGCACCCGTCACCCATTCAGTTTTACAACGTGTGCAGTGGAATCAGATGTGTTTGGGTTAAAGGCTATTTGACAAAGTCACAAAATTGTACAGTGCAGCACACGTATGCAAGAATAAGTTAATTGAGTCCCTATTTATCATCAAACTGAAGATATTTAGTGGATTCCAAAAAGAAATCAACACAGCTTTGTTGTATCCATTATACACGCATTTAGCGGATAAACACGGGCTACTAGTATCTGAGCTCTTCTGTCTACGGTGCGTTGCATTCAATTGTTAGGACAACTGGTCAATAGTACCGGGGTTCAAGAAGAGCATTAGGTAACCGTGATTGTGTAGTTACTCCAGCATATGACCTCGCTAGATGACGATTAGTAGAGCCTGTGTTACGCGTGCCACCTATAGGCTTCCCTGATGTATAAAGTTTGTTGGTAAGGGTAAGGCAAGAGCAGACGATGATGTGACGCGACGATGTGAGAACTTTAACCAATGAACTTACCCACATAGGTCTTCTTACGCTTCTCATTTCAAGACCACGGGTTTAGACTGATTGAGCATCACTTTCCTCGCACATCTAGTCCTCTCTCTTTTCATACATACTTCTAATCTACTTTCTAACTATTCCCTTGTGGTGACTTTTTCGGTCATCTTTTGCTACGGGGGGAATGATTATGATACAAAACTCGTCAGATACGGTTTCTTTTGGCCCGGGTGTGGAGTGAGAGTCTTAATGAACTAATACAATGATTTATAAAGGTTATCATACGCATTTGGATCCTGTGTTTGAGAAGTGGGGGCATCATTACTTCTTGCAACTTGAGGAGTAGAACCTATGAGTTTTTTTTCTGGAGGTCGGCATAACTATTTGCCATTTCTCCCGTCTTTCTTTTCATTTCCGCACCGGGATTTATGCGGTTTTAAGGCTAAAACGCGGAACACTTCATATTCGTAGAGAATCTCATTTTACTGCTATTGTGAAATCTTAAACTCTTTAGGGTCGTTATTCTCACTTGCAAATGCATCGCACATTTCGATTTACGTAATTCGACACGATTTCTGTGCTACTGGTAGCACTGGGAGTTTGTGTGTTTTTGTCTTGTGAAATGAGAATACGAGGTCCAACTGTTCCGCTTTGTTTTATTCCATCTGTTGTCTGCAGTCTGTGGAACACTGAGTGGGAGAACGGATATGTTACTCCATGTTTTTCCTTATCCTATTGTTCGTNTGGGATGGCTACCTCTGGATTATCGTTGCGTGAGTGGTGCTTTTTCCTCAAAGTTTCACCCATATCACCTTTCCCTTGTTCCTCTCCAAAACCACAGGACTATTTGCCTGCCAGTCAGGAGCGACGTACCGCTGTCCTGGCTGAGAAACGAAGACAATACAACTCGTTCGTACAACAATATTTTCACCTGCGCGAGCAAACCTCCTGCAAAGACATGTTCCATCAAATTCAGAAAGATCTCACTCGTATGACGCTTTTGTATCGTCGACCAGATATGCTTGCGGTGGGTGATCTACTGGTTTTGACTTTTTCGCATTGTTTCCAAAACCTCGACATCAATGATATGATTTACCGCATAAAAGCAATAGACTGTCAAGGTTTTCCCTGCCTTTTTCAACAAAATTGAATAGATTACTGACAGGTGTGCATGGGGAATTAGTTAGTGTCCCTGTTAATGAGATCCTCCCTGCGTTACACTAACAGAACCAGTTCGATCTGCAGCGGCCCTGTAGTCCAGTCGAAACTACACAAGCTTGTCGTGTCATCTCATTGCGTTTCTTCCTGCGTATTTTTACTCATTTTCATTGTATGTGAATCAGTTCGGACTATTTCACTGCGAATTTAATTTAAGGCACCTTAGTGTTCGGATTGATAATGTCATCGCTGCGGTATGCACGTGTACAGATGTAGCTAAATGACCACGGGCACAGTGTGCGAGAAATCTTGCCTTCGGCCCACGTCTGCTATTTCACTAACTACAAAAATATCCTTCCTCGAGGTGAATGCTTCGGTTTATTGCTGGATTTTCTTGATTTCCTGATTTTCCTATTCTGACTGCTCAAAAACGGGTTCGTTTCTGCTTGGGCAAACACAAGGTGAGAAAGTGTGTAGTGGTTGGTGTTAGCTGACCAGCATACGCCCAGGATAAATCCAAAATTCGAGACCTTGATTCATCGTGCAATACCAGGGTATTACCTACCACTGAAAGTTGTAGGATAGCTAGTAATATGACAGGGTATACGGAATGGATTCCCGAGTTGCATGAATACCGACCTCAACATTCGGTAGCTCTTGTTTGTTAGAACGAAACTATTTTGCTTCCGGTTCAGGCGTCTGATCTCGGTCCTGATAATAGAATGAGGAAGGCCAATCAAACTAAGCAGACGGGTTTGAACGCACGTTGTGGTAGTGACCAATGCCACTGGAACACCATCGATCATAGCAAAATCAAGACCGCTAGTTAGTCGGGTACCGTGAGTGGAAGACCTTTATGACACTCAGACACTCCGGGTTTGTTTATCCGATCTGGCATGAGGGTATGTAAACCATTACCAGGAGACTAGGCCACATAGGCCCCGTTAGGCTCCCTGGATAGGGACCCCGAGATGATGATCATCGATGGTTAGAGACACAGTGATATGGCTGGGTGTCGCGAACAGTGGCGCTCGTGCATCTATTCATTATTCTCCTAACATCACTCTATATGAGTTCTCCATCTTCCGCTTAAATTTGCTTTCGAAATTCCGATCTTCATTCTGTTCTTTTATCCAAATGGGGCACCAAAAGACAGCAACCAAAACCGACACACGAAAGTGCATAGTTAATGGTTGTAAAAACTGAAACTGAAACTCATCTGATCTTTAATCGTTGGGTGGGGATCTCTTTGGAAAGCAGTTTTGTGTAGCTTCCGGTATTCTTTCCAAATACATTGAGTTTCAATACGATGATCTGTGTCATGGTAAAGTCGGTTACCACTCTTTATTCAATGCATGGCATGCTGTTTATTTATTTAGTAGTCTTTTTTTGTCTGTTTTGTTTTCTATTGTGTGTATACTTCTGTGGCAGGTTTATTTAGGTCCAGCACTAGAATAGATGTGAATACGCGCAGTCACTTTGTAATAAAGTTTTTTGTGAAATTTCTATATGAAATAAGTTTAGTTAAACGAAAATGTCCGTATTTTCATACCTTTTTGTCAAATAACTTCTCAACTGACAGATGTTTGAGCGTATTCTGTTCATCTGGTCAATGCGTCACCCTGGCAGTGGTTACGTTCAAGGCATTAACGATCTGCTAACGCCTTTCTTCGTGGTCTTTCTCTCGGAATACATACGCGTTGGTGAGTCCTTGTGTGCACGTTCTGTGTTGTGAATTCTAGAACGGCAATCCATCAGTATAGGTTCCACACTGGTGAGACATTTATGTCGGTATAAATCAGTGATCTGAAACGTTTTTCACCTCACGTTCACCCGTTCGGTTGTATGAGTTCAAGTACACAACCCTTTTGGGCGAAGGTTTTGTCATCGATTCCTTTCTTTGATTCTCCATCGAGAGTGCCTGTACGGGCCAATAGGATCTTTATCTCCTTATCGTTACCAGTTGGTCTAACAGTTTCATAGTGCTTGTTTCATTTGACTGCCGTTTTGTTGTTAATCATGTAGTCGAAAGCAGGTACAATAAGCAGCATTTTCAGCATTTCCAAATAGCTATCGCGCGTTACTTTTTTCCAGTCTACGGACTGTGAAATGGTGTACTTCCTCGCTTATTTCGACCACGTTGACGTGAAAAAAGAATTCTGGGAGGATAGAATTTGGTCGTGTTCGGGGATTCGCTTTGCTTGTAGCTCCAGATTTTGTGGTTTAATCTGGACACATTCATCATACTTCTTTGATGAACACAATTGATGTCCCGTGTTCTTTTGAGCCATCTTAGGAACCATCACCTGCACGTTGCTCATCGCTAGTAGTGTTCTCTGCGATTTTCCGTACTATAGGCATGTAATTGGTTGGAAATTGGTGACTCGTGGAGATAGGTGGAGGGCATTAACCGTTAACATCTTGTCGATAGATTGAATCAAGGGGTTACGCGCAAAATGATAATTAAGTTCATTGGTATGCTCCCCGAGGCTGTGCACGGAGTTTCGGTTCATCCAGTACGTTTGTCTCCACTTACACATGCCCTGATGCTGTGCCACACGTGACAACTGTCTGTTATGGCTTGAAAATTTTCGGTTTTCCGCAATTTTCCTGTGTTCTTTTGGATTTCTATTCCACGAACCTCGGCATTTGGGAAAATTTTGTGCTTCCCGGTGATGAGTTTTCGAGCCCCACATATTGGTTAATGTTTATCGTTGCTATCTGTGATTTCCTGAGGAGAAACGCACGATCCAACAGTCCTTTTCAGCCATTTCATCTGCTAACTGATACAGTTTGAGTTGTTGCATTATAAGAACTGCTACCCTTGTGCTTCAGTCCTGGTTATTGTCTTTCAGCTACACATCTGATCGATCATTTAGATAGGGGTGGGGGTAGATTGCAATAAACAGCTGCACATGGCACTGCGATAAGGACAACATCATTGCAAATGATATGTGTACAGACAGGGTCGCTTTTTTGACATTCGACCGTATCACTCATTTTCGTTAATCACTAACAAGGATGACCCTGTGGTCCCCCCCTGATAGGCCCAATGCGAGCCACATCTCAACCAGTCCACTAGTCATGGTTTATATAGTTTTATTCTAGGTCATAAACTAACCGCCTTTGGCCTTTTTCAAACAACACCTGTCTCACCAAACGTCTTGAACTGAGGAAGCCTATTTGGTAACATGCGTAACACATGCCTTATTCATCGTAACTTAAGCGATCACAGGTTATAGAGTTTCGTCAAAACACATCTAGCACATTTCTTTACAGAGTCGCTTGATGATGCTTCACTGTTGCTTGACATCTGTTCTTGAGCAAACAAAAATGGTACCAATTATTTTTTGAATCCCCCATAGTTATATCTTCAAACGATTATAAGAATGTTCTATAAGAAACAGGAATTGAGCGTATTGTCGATCTACTTGTGCCCCGTCCTGCTGTTTGCGAACATAATCCATGTCTTTTGAGTAAGTGACATTCCCATCGGGACGCTTCCGATCTTTTCAAAGGCTGCATTTCATATTGGGATCATGCAGCCGCACGGCCAATTTAGTATAGTTTTGTGTCTCCGCCTTAGATGAGACGTACATTTTCTCATAACTGCCGACTTCTTTCCTCGGTTACTCATATAGACACGTTGATAGCTGAGTTCTGTAACGACCCGGGTAAGTCGGTGCTAGACTGCTCGACTGAACCGTGTTTTCTTATCTTCCATTCATCTTATCGCATGTTCCCAATCAAAGCATGTTATTTGCTTCGGGTGTGTTTTAAACGCGTCCGCGCACGCGTTTTCGTATGATTGGGCACGCCTCCTGCTCTTACTCCTCCTCGTCCCCCTATCTCTGCTTATGTCATTCAGGTATTTGCATACTGATTTAGCTTTGTTTTCAAAATTTATTTCCTCCATTCGCAGTGTACGATTCCATAGAGTGTTCCAACTTGCACGGAAATTCATCCGGTGCGGCTCGAAGCGTTTCATGCGAGTAAAAACGTTCTTGCTGGTTTCTTGTTGAACAATAGTAGATGGTTTTTCTTTCGGTTCGTTTCCTCCTCGCTTTTTGTGTTGCTTTACTCTTGTTTGCAATGACTGCTTTTTGTCTCATTCATTTCTCCTTTTACGTCATCGTACACACACATCGCAGATCTTAATACATCCGGAGAGCTGAGTTTACAATACGATCTACCGGCCGAGCACTCGGACTCGGTCGAGGCCGATGTGTTCTGGTGCACATCGCATCTATTGGATACAATTCAGGACAACTACACATTTGCCCAACCCGGTATCCAGAACAGTGTGTCAATGCTGGCCAGCCTGATCGAGCGGGTGGATGCGAACTTACACCGTCACTTGACCACACATCATGTGGAGTATTTACAATTCGCGTTTCGATGGATGAACAATTTATTGATCCGAGAGCTACCGTTGCGTTGTATCATACGTCTCTGGGACACATACATGGTAAGCTTTTTACTCAATCTTATTCTGCCTATGTGGCTTTTTGTTCGATGGTGTTTCAGTTTCAGTTTTTACAACCATTAACCGTTCATTTTCATGCACCGGTTTTGGTTACTGTTTTTTTCTGCTCATTTGGATAAGAAAACACTGAAGATTTGAATGTTGAGAGCAAATTCAAGCGGAAGATAGCGATTTTATATAGACTGATGCTATAAGAATAATGAGTAGATGCATGAGCGCCACAGTTTGCGATACCCAGCCATGTTTCTCAGTGTTTCTAACCACCAGCTATCATGATCCCAGGGTCCCCATCCAGGAAATCTAACGGTACCTATGCAACCCAATATCCTAGGTAGGGCTTTCATACGTTTATCCCAGGTCCTACCGTGACTACTCTTGACCTTTTTCCATCCACTGCCTGCTTCGTCAAACATGACGCCGTGGCAACCTATCTGGTTACATGCGTAACACATGTCCCAACCAGCGTAATCTATGAAGGTGGACTACTTGCTTTAGTGGACGATCTCAATTATCTAAAACTCTTCGCCCAACCTCAACATTGCCCGTCCGGTTTCCTCACCAGACTCGTGCAATGCTACGTAGACATCGGTGTGCGAACACCGACAATCTACGTTCATCCTGTTCCCGTAAAGGCCAAGTCTGCACCGTAGAGTAGGACTGCCCCCACTGCTGCAGCATATACTTTAACCTCCACAGGCAGCCGGATGTCGCGACGGCGCCACGGATGTATCAAGTTGGCAAATGCCAATCAAACCTGCTGTATGCGTGCCGACACTTCGTCTGTGGTTGGGTTCAATCAGTGCTGGTGTCTACGCGGTATTGTACGAGTGTGATGATACAACTGTACAAGTGGTGTCGAAGTTAGATGAAAACCGTTAAGTGATTACGACCATACACTAACGCACTTGTTCGATTTCTATAAATTGCAATGGTTGGGGTATACGCCATTCGTATCACTGGACTTCCTCGTTTTATGATATTTACTGAAGCCAGCAGTTAAGTTCAATTCAGTTTTCTACAACAATTAACCATGCACTTTCTTGCGCCGGTTTTGGTTGCTGTCTTTTGGCCGCCCATTGGGATGAACAGTACGTACTCGCTTGTTTGCTGCGCCTCTACTCAAGAGAACCGAAAGAACATTACTCGTGCCATCATAGACTACAAAAAGCTGCAAAACCTGACAATACTTAAGCAATGGCTCATCCCAGAAGACGATCACGATCCTTTGGTGGCATGTAAGAGCATTACTGATCATCTTACCGAAATTGTAACGACTGCAATAAGTATCAAAACTTGTGGTGAATCTAAAACTCGACAGTCATTCGTTCGCAGGCGAACAAAGAAATGGATAGAGCGAAGGAACTTTTCCTGGCGGGAGTACAGAAGATGCCCATCTATCGAAATTTGAAATAGTTATTTCTTGCTGCAAAATCAATGTACCAAGTTTGTACGAGAGGACAAATTGATATACTAAGAAACCCTGACTCAAAAATTCATTTCTGATCCAAAATTCCTTTATAAACATCAATTCTACAAGGAAGATGAAATGCGGAATACCAGCATTGAGATCGTCTGGACATGTTTCAATCACTACTCTTCCTCAAAAGCATTTCGATCATCTGTTCACAGCAACTACACACGCAGCGTTAGAGATTCCAAGCAAACTACCCTGTATATCGTATCCGTCACTGCTTAACATGGCTTTTAACAATGAGAAGGTTAGAGCAAAACTTCTAACTTTGCGTAAAAATTCATCCCTGGGCGCAGACAACATGCATCCCCGGACTCTGA